TTGCAGGCTTAAAATCATTGAAATATACTCTCCTCCCATCGCTTCGGCCGGTTTGGCACTTAGGTGGAAGCCACCTTTCTGAGCGACTGTAAACAGCATCATGTAACAGTCATGGTTATTCTACCAACTGTACGTTCTTTCAAGTGCCAGCAGTTTTCCAGTTATAATTACATTTCAACCTGCAACCTGCACCCTGCACCCTGCAAAATATACCTGCCGGTCTTGAATTGTGGAAATCATTGTTTAAACTGTGGATGTGCTTTGCAGGATATCCTGAAACACTTAGAGGAACATAATATTTATCATACATAATAATATGGTATTTACAAGTGAATAGATGAAATATCATATTATATTTGAACTGCGGAGAAAGATATGTAGACGATGATTGATCATTGCAGTTATAGACAGCTTAAGCAGTTGTGAAATTTTTTTGAGCCTGAATTTTTTTCAGGTTTAATTTCACAAGTGCTTTAATAAGTTGTCTATAACTGTCTATAACTGTCTTCAGATCTCTATTGTTGTGAAAATTAATATTAATAACACTTTTCTTTTTAGTGCGGTTGGAAATGAGTTGTAATGCATTATCAATGAAAACCTCACCATCAAGATGCAGTCAGTAACTAAGAAGAAGGCGTAAGTGATGTTGACCTAAATGTATTGCAATATATGCATAGTGACTGTCTCAATGTACCTCAACTGCTAGCTGTCGTATGATGTGCGACAACTTTATTGGAAAATGATGGACAGTAAGATGGTGTAATTGGAAAGCCATGGAGGCTAACTACTTAAAGATAGCGTGAAAAAAGTTTACAATTTATTGGTAATAATTTTTTTTTTAGGGTTTGAACTTTGTTGACACCTTATCAATATTCAGGCAGGGCTTCAAATAACAGTCAGTCATGGGACATTGGCCGACCAAAATTTGCTCATGTCCGACGAAATCCCAACTGTGGGCAGACATGTTGTTCGGACAATTTCTTATCATTAATCATTTTACAGTAAAGTGAAGTCTTGGAGCTGACTGGCTTGTAGCTGCTGGAGCTTATCCTGGTTTCTGTAGCATGAAGCGGCTAGGAGTATGTCTACTCCCCCTGGACGGATGATAGTCCATCGTAGGTCACTCCCCCACAATTAGTTAGGTTTCCCCAACAATTCTCTTGTACCCATTTATACTCCTGGGTGGAGAAAGGCACTGTGAGAGTTGAGTGTCTTGCCCAAGAACACAACACAGTGTCCCCAGCCAGGGCTTGAACCTGGACTGCTTGATCTGGGGACAAGCACACTAACCATGAGGCCACCACAATAAGGATGAATAAAAATCTAGCGTGAGTAAATCTTACCTTTTTTGGTGATGTCCAACAACAATTTGTTTTGTCTGACTAAGATGGTGTTTTAGTAGGACAAGTCATATGTCCGTTCAAGAGAAAGAAATTATTTGCAGCCCTGTTCATGGCACTCCAGATAACATTCTCAGGTTACTTTGACAGTGAACAATCTAAGGTCTTGCATGTATTATTTAAATGGGTTTTTTCTGTAAATTAATTTAAAGGTTATGTTTTCTGTCATAAATTATTATGACCTGATAAGTGCAGAAATGAAAATAATTCTTGCGTACTTGTTTATCTTCTTCTTGTGCTTTTAAACTATTTTTGACAGGGATCTAAAAATTGTCATTCTTGGGGATGCCAGTGTTGGAAAAACATCGTTGATTCAAAGATACCTTCAAGGAATTTTCACTGACAATAATATTAGTGTGGGTATTTTAATTATTTATTACAGACTACAAAATTTAAAAAAAATGAAAGTGATTATCTAATTATATCCAGCTGTACCTGATGGAAGACAAATAACTTGCCAGGTGATGGGGACTTCCGCATTAAAAGGTTACGGACGCTTGTCATCTTGCTTAGGGGTATAAATCAAGG